CCCCTAAAGAGTATCGATGCCTGACAATCAAACCAGCTTCTACTTTACTTCTTTTGATTAATCTGACTTTTTAGAATTTAGTTTTGGAAACTCTCCTGAGAGTCACAAAAAAGGGAAAACAAGCAGAAGCCTGCTATTGGGGTTCTTCTGCTGTTTCATAGATAACATCCCTTTCTACCAGAATGCTGTTCATTTGTGGTAGGCTCATATATGACCTCATTAACTATTTGAATATATGTCCACTTGTGATTTATCTCACTAAAACAGCATAACGTACAGGACACTATGCTCTATATTAAAGAGATAATCCTGTATTTCTCCCTTCTGCAGTTCCAGGAGATAATAAAGTAAAATTGTGCATGAATGATGATGGGCAGGTTGCAGGCAGCTGGGTGGAAAAGGGGCACAGTACAAAGAACTCCTGGGACTGTGTGCCACCTACAGGTGATTGAACTGGTTCCTCCTGAAGAGCTGCCTTTTCTTTAAGACTGGGTGAGGGGCATTCTGAGTACGATTATATTTTTAGTAAGTATGTAAAAGCCCTTTTAGTCTGGCACTGTATCAACCAGCAAGCTCAATAAATTGGCATTTCTCATCTTCATAGGAAATCTGGTTAATAGGGAGGTTGGTATGGGAGCAACTAGTGGATGGGGCATGGGAGGGGCTGCAGGGCACATTCCGGGAGAGAGTCTGGGTCCAAGAGGAGGGTTGGGACAGGGGCACTTGATGGGGGTGTGTACTGACTTTCAATGGCCCTCCAGACCCCAATCCCTTCTGTTGCTGGTGGAGGTGTGGCTAGGTAGCTATGCAGCCCTGTGGAGCTGGTGGGAACTGACTTTTAAGCCAGCTCCCCCAGTACTGGCTCCTGCTTCTCCCCCCATTTGCGCTACCTCTGCTACAGAGACAGCAAGGAGGGGGAATTTGAGTAGTTGACAAGATAAGATTAAGCTTATTGGTTAATTGTATAATTGACACGTTGATGCCCCAAATCCACTGCCAACCTGAATACAGGTAGAAGAACTGGCTGTAGAAGTCCCTTCTTAAAAAAAGAGGGATACAGGATGTAAGCTTTCAGAGGGAGCGTGGATGCAGAAGGGGGCTCAGGGCTGGTGGTCCACAGCGCAGGAAGGAGTGTGGGGCATTGGCCCTGCAAGACGGGTCAGGACTGGGGTGTGGGCTCTGTCGAGGCAATGTTTACCTAGGGCAGTGCCCCTTCAGCCCTGTGCCTCTGGGAATCTGATGACATGACCCTGCTGCCATAATTCCCAGCCAATGAGAGTTGCAGAGTGGGTGCTCAGAGGCATGAGCAGCCACTAAGTACCCTTCCTCCACCGTCCCTCCTCCCAAGCCGCAAGGACACGCTTACTGCTTCCGGGAACTGTGCATGGCCAGAGCAGGCAGGGAGCCCACCTTAGCCTCTCTGTTCCTGCGGCTTTAAAATCCTAACATCCCAGGTTTGGCTTGAGTAGCCTCCGGAAGATAAAGCCTGAGGCCGACTCCTGCCGAAACTGGGAGGGGTTGGTTAGCAACCCTGCACTGAGGGGCGCCGCCTGTCAGCGCCTACGCCATGGGACCCCGGCACCAGGCGAACAGGGCCAGAAGGAAGAGGAGCGACTCCCCCGAACGTCGCACCGGGAGCCCGGGGCTGGCACGGGCCAGCCGGGCAGGGAGAACAGCCCTTTCCAGCTGCACTTCCCCGCGCGCCCCCGTCCCCGCTAGGCCGGACACCCGCAGGGCTGAGGCTCTCTTCCCACAGCGGCCCGAACGAGGCGGGCAGGCCGGGGCCGAGAGG